AAAGTTGATAAAGTTATGCGGATAGTCTGCAAAGTTGATAAAGTTATGCGGATAGTCTGCAAAGTTGATAAAGTTATGCGGATAGTCTGCAAAGTTGATAAAGTTATGCGGATAGTCTGCAAAGTTGATGAATTTGCGAAGAGGAATGGCAATTTGAAGTTTTGTGCATACAGTATTAAGTTACGTACATAGTCTGCAAAATTGATCAAGTTACATGGATAGTTTTTAAAGTTGCGAGCAAAGTTGACAGAGTTATTAGGATAACCTGTAATTTGATAAATTTAGGTGGTTGGTCAACAAAGTTAATACAATTACGTGTAGAATCTGCAAAACCAATAACGTTATGTGGATTGTCTGTAAATTTGTGAACACATTTTATCAAGTTACATAGATAGTCTGCAAAGATGCGGGCAAAGTTGATACAGATATGCGGATCATTCAAGTTCTCAAAGTACGTGGCGTGTATAGTCTGCAAAGTTAATACATTAAGTTTATATAGTCTACAAAATTGTGAACAAATTTGATCAAGTTATGTAGATAGTCTGCAATGCTGATGAAGTTATGTAGATAGTCTGCAATGCTGATGAAGTTACGTAGATAGTCTGCAATGCTGATGAAGTTATGTAGATAGTCTGCAATGCTGATGAAGTTACGCGGATAGTCTGCAATGCTGATGAAGTTATGTAGATAGTCTGCAATGCTGATGAAGTTATGTAGATAGTCTGCAATGCTGATGAAGTTATGTAGATAGTCTGCAATGCTGATGAAGTTATGCGGATAGTCTGCAATGCTGATGAAGTTATGTAGATAGTCTGCAATGCTGATGAAGTTATGTAGATAGTCTGCAATGCTGATGAAGTTATGTAGATAGTCTGCAATGCTGATGAAGTTATGTAGATAGTCTGCAATGCTGATGAAGTTATGTAGATAGTCTGCAATGCTGATGAAGTTATGTAGATAGTCTGCAATGCTGATGAAGTTACGCGGATAGTCTGCAATGCTGATGAAGTTATGTAGATAGTCTGCAATGCTGATGAAGTTATGTAGATAGTCTGCAATGCTGATGAAGTTATGTAG